TTTGTGTGCCATATTTGAATTGATTGTATAAGAAAATGAGAAATAGTGCCATACCATTTATTTTAAATTTAAATCTTAAATTTAAAAAAACCTTATTCACTGTATTTAGTGCCATATCTCTTTAAATTATAAATTAAACATTTTTAGGTCACCTGAGTAAACTCAGGTGACCTATTGCTATCTGTTTTCGTCCGTCGTCGTTCGTCGTGCTTCGTGCGTCGTTCGTCGTTCGTCGTGCGTTAACATTTGAACATTTTCAGCTTCTTCTCTGCAACCACTGAACCAATTTCAACTAAATTTGGTACAAAGCATCTATCGGTGAAGGGGAACAAAAATTGTGAATTTCATGATCCCTGCCCCCCTGGGGCCTGAGGGGTGGGGCCAAAACCACTAAAATTAGTGCAATCTTTAAAAATCTTCTTCTTTACTCCTGGACATCAAGCAGTCAAACTGTTTGCATGATTGTAATCAGCAATGAGTCCTCTACCAAAATTGTGAAATTCATGGCCCTGGGGTCAGGGGTTCTAGTGCTAGGGCGGGGCTAAATAAGTAGGTAGTGAAAATGCATTATTTCTTTGAAAATCTTCTTCTCTGCTCCTGGGTATTAAATAAACCAACTAAGTACATAGTTATGATGAGCAAGAGTGCCTCTACCAAAATTGTGAATTTTATGGCCCCAGGGTCAGGGGTTCTGGTGTTAGGGCGGGGCTCTAGTGATTATATAGTGAAAATACATTAATTCTTTGAAAATCTTGTTCTCTGCTCCTGGGTGTTAAATAAACTAACTAAGAACATAGTTATGATAAGCAAGAGTGCGTCTACCAAAATTGTGAATTTTATGGCCCCAGGGTCAGTGGTTCTTGTTTTAGGGTGGGGCTCTAATGATTATATAGTGAAATGTATGAATTCTTTGAACATCTTATCCTTTGCTCTTGGTTAATATGCTAATGTTCTAATTACATATCTGGGGCCAGGATTTATTTTATTTTCAGTTTTACAAACCCCCCGCTCAAGGTTTTGAACTTTTAGAAAAAAATAAAAAAAAAATTTCTTTCGGATGTCAAATTTGAGTCGGGATCGAGATTTCAAATTTACGAACTCGCACTTCCGGTTTTTAGACCTGAAACGGCGGGTAAATAAAGCTAGATCCAAGAATTTGGCATGGTTTAGTGTAAAATTCATCGATAAGAGTGCCATTCAAAACGTTTCACCCGTTCAAAGGACAAATAAAATGCTGACGACTTTGTTGCACAATGACATGCTGGTGAGATAATTATGTATTCGTTTCAAAAGTAACTGTAAATTATTTTCCTCCCCCAGGTTTTAAACTGCCCGTGGTAGCTATTGCATATTGCCAGGGACATTGTTTAGGTCTCTGTTATAGCTTACAGTCTAAGCATCATTCTTCAGAAAATTGTTGCTTATGCATCAGATGTAATGAATAAAACTATGGGAGAAGTGAAGTCTATTTGAGGAAGAAATAAACAATAACCTGAAGTGAAGAAATAAAAAAAAAATCAACTATTAAAAGGCAAGAATATACAAATATATGTAGTATCATTTGTATCAGCCAGAAAAATTATTTTACACTTAATTGAAAAAATGTTGACCCTACTCCCCAATACTTCCTGTCTGTTTTATGATAGGAATTATAATTTTAGGCATCAAGTAAATTTTAGAACAATGTCTACACATTCACCTAACACATATTAAGAAAATGAAGATGTATTGAAAGACTTTTAAAGAATTGATTTTTAAAAATATATTTTGATCAACATCACAAAATTTATATAACTGGCCCAAACTGGCAGATGATGAAATAAGCAATTAAATGTTCTACTTTCCTATTTGTAAGCATTATGTGTCCAGTGGTAAAGAGCCTATTAGGATAGCATAAAAAAAGAATGTACAAATGTTAATAATTGATTTATCAAAAAAAATTATTTCCTTTTCCTTCGGGATTTTTTTAATCTCATGTTCATAACTCAAACCTAAACATAAAAAAAAAATGCTGGCCTTATAATGAAGAAAGGGTCCTCTTTCAAAATAGATAATTTCAGGAGTGCTGGGTCAGGGGTACCAAGGGGGTACTTTGACTAAAAATAAATTAATGCTTTGAAATCTGCCCTTTGATAAGCAATGGTGCCTCTTTCAAAATTTGTGAATTTCATGGCTTTTGGCTTAAAACACGAACCAAATACAATCGCTGGAAAGTTGTTACATGATACTCAGGTGACCTATAAGGCCCGTGGGCCTCTTGTTTTACAGAAACAGTCTCATAATCATGGCAATCATTAAATAATCATATTAATGCAATTGCTTTATTTTGCGATGATAGCATTAACCTGGAAAGATAACTTTAAATTTTGAAATAGAAACGAAGGCTATGTCTCATTGACCGCAGTACATCATTTTACACATGTATACATAGAAAATCTAGTGGATTGAAATAACTTGCCTTATTAGACCTTACTGTCTTTAATTTTTTAGCTATAATTAACCGTCCAGTTTTTATGCTTTAATTAAATGATGGAGCTTCCTGGTACATGTATTTCAATTGATTATTTTTCTGGTGAACAACTAGTCGATATTTTTTTTTTTAATCTATTCATGTTAGTTATTACATGTTGATAGCAATACACATGCGGAGTAGCGAATCAAGTAATGATTTTTAATAGATTAGATGAGCCTTTAATTTTGTTTCACATAAGTAGGTACAGTGTACTTGCCTTAAAAATGGCTGACTTTTAATGTAACATTAGTGTCCTTTTTTCTACTGTAAATTTGATTAAAAAAAAAAAAAGCTAGAATTTTTCATTTGTGAAATGATTGATGCAAATTTTATGATTTTTTTGTCAACTGATTATACAATTTAATCAAATATAATTATTTTATTTTAATTTCCTGTTCTTTTTAGGAATATTTGATATAATCATCTTGATGACTTTATTGTGCTTTTTGATTAATTAAGTCCGCTGAAATGATGTTGGTGTGTATTGTCAATATACAGTAGATAAAGTTACAGTCTGTTATGGAACGCCACAGCTGTCTTAAGGGTACAAGATATATATCTTAGTGTCAAATCGATATAACATTAAGGCTTCCCTTTATATCATTAAGTCTATTTTATATATTATGTAGTACAAAAAACACATCATAACCTCAATTTAATATAACATTTAGTCTATCCATTATATCATTAAGTCCTCTTTATATAACATGTAGTCCGTTCTCTATATCATTAAGTCAAATTTATATAACGTATGGTCCATTCTTTATATCATTAAGTCCAATTAATATAACATGTCCGTTTTTTACATCATTAAGTCCTCTTTATATAACATGTAGTCCGTTCTTTATATCATTAAGTCCAATTTATATAACATGTTGTCCGTTCTGTATATCATTAAGTCCACTTTATATAATATGTAGTCCATTCTTTATATAATTAAGTCCAATTTATATAACATGTAGTCCATTCCGTTTATCATTAAGTCCAATTAATATAACATGTTGTCCGTTCTATATATCATTAAGTCCAATTTATATGACATGTTGTCCGTTTTGTGTATCATTAAGTCCACTTTATATAATATGTAGTCCGTTCTTTATATCATTAAGTCCAATTTATATAACATGTAGTCCATTCTTTATATCATTAAGTCCAATTAATATAATATGTTGTCTGTTCTGTATATCATTAAGTCCACTTTATATAATAAGTAGTCCGTTCTTTATATCATTAAGTCCAATTTACATAACATATTGTCCGTTTTTTACATCATTAAGTCCAATTTATGTAACATGTAGTCCATACTTTATATCATTGAGTCCAATTAATATAACATGTTGTCCGTTCTGTATATCATTAAGTTCACTTTATATAATATGTAGTCCGTTCTTTATATCATTAAGTCCAATTTATATAACATGTAGTCTATTTTTTATATCATTAAGTCCAATTTATATAACATGTTGTCCGTTCTTTATATAATTAAGTGCAGTTCATATAATATGTAGTACTATTCATACAATATGTAGTGAAAAGGCACAAAAATATGTCAAAACAATGTATTACATTGTCTGATCTTCATAATATACAGTCAAAATAAATTGCGATATTGTCAAAATATATATCATCAAGTCATTAAAATATGGCATGGTGTCCAAAAGTGAAAACGTTAAGTCAGTACAGCGTATCGTTATGACGAACTCTTACATTATGTTGAGTTCCGAATGTGTTCATTCGGAAATTTTCGCGCCAAAACGGTTCTAAAAGCAAGATGAATGGCCTGCGGGAATGTCTGATGGAGCTAGGGATACCGAGCGCCTATCCCAATTTTGAAAGAGAAAACATTTCAATTGAGATGATAGAGGTACTCTCAGATGAAGAACTGAAAAGACTTGGCGTTGAAACGATCGGATTACGCCACAAGTTAAAAAAACTTGTGCATGGGAAAACAACGGTCACAGAGCATACCGCTATAAGTACCAGAAACGAACGAGCCCGACTATTCAGTCCTTACTCTCGCACTGCAGGTACTAAAGCCGGGAAAAAGATGCGCCAAAAAGACAAGTTTATAACCATGAATTTTTTATGTCTGGCACATACAGGCCAAAAATTTGTTCCAAATGCATTGGAAAAAGAAACTTTGAATAAAGCTGGACTTGGTAAGAAAAAAATTGTTTTAAAAAAATCAGATGATGAAAATGAATTAGCAGCAAAACTTATTTCGCAAGAATTAAATGAAGAAGGGGAAATTGTAGGATTTCCAAAATTAGCTGAGGGGGGTGGCTTTGAACTACTGAGAAGTGCCCAAAATTACAGAGAGTTAACTTTGATAAACTGCGCATGGTCAGCAAAAGAACTGCAGAAAAATGTTAATCCCCAATCAACGATTTATATAAGGCCAATCCAAAAAGATCTTTCCACTGCTTCTATAGAACATCCTCATGAGAAGTCTAGTGAATCAAGTTTAGAAGAGAAATGTGTAACATGTGGAAGGAAATTCTTGCTACGAGAACTGAGGAAACACACAGAAACATGTTCGGAAGCTGACACAGAAAATGATGTGCAAACAACAGACATTTTGAATATTAACATTCTTCCACAAACCATGCAGACTAACATAGCAAGCTCTCAGGAAATGCATGTTGAGGAAGTTGTTATTTTTCAAGACCAGGAATTGTTGTTAGAAAACACTGTAGAAAGTAACCACATCAGCGATCTAGCTGTGACTGAAGTTTTGCCTGTATCTGTGCAAAATGTTGAAACAGTTTCAGATGTGACCAGCAGAATTATTGAGTTTTGTAAGGTACAAAATATCGCAGATCCGGTAGAAATTTTACGCAAAGTACAGAAAGAAATGGTCACAGGACGGCCTTTGGAAGTGATTGATGTAACACAGAATTCTGAGGGTGATACAAACTTTATTTTAATTGACAGAACACATCTGTTGGAGACTGGTTTTGATGAAATCAAAGCAATCAGTGATGTCCGAAAAACTCTAGAAGTACAATTTTATGATGAGGTTGGTAATGCACTAATGGTTGTGTATTGTGTTGTTAAATGCGCTAGGCAATCATTAAAAATACTTTTGTTTGATGTACTCCAACCCACATTAATATTTCTCAAGGTGGGTAGGTAGACAGGGTTTTTTTTGCAGTATCAAACAAGATGTGTTTGTGAAACACAATGCGCCCGGTGGCAACAAAAATCTAAAAAGCTATTTTAAGCATACTTGCATAGGTCACAGTCAAGGTTACCAGGTCATTGACCTTGAAGTCATTGGAAAGAACTTGATTAGTGGAGTATGCACACCAAATATGAAGTCTCTATCTTTTATGGTTCAAAAGTTATGGTGAAAGTTACAAAACCACTATTTTTAGCATATAGGTCACAGTCAAGGTCACCAGGTCATTGACCTTGGTGTCATTTGAAAGAACTTTATTTGTGTAGTATGCATACTAAATATGAAGTCTCTATCTTTTATGGTTCAAAAGTTATGGCAAAGGTTAAAGTTTGCAGACAGAAAAGCTATTTTTAGCATATAGGTCACATTCAAGGTCACAAGATCATGAATATTAGTGTCAATTGAAAGCACCTCATTAGTGAAGTATGCATACCAAATATGAAGTTTCTACCTTTCATGCTTCAAAAGTTATGGCGAAGGTTAAAGTTTGGGGACAAACAAACAAACAGACAGACAGACAGGACAAAAACAATATACGCCTCGGATCTATCGATCCGGGCCCATAAAAATTTGAAAATTGTCATAAGACTTCAGATTTATTGATGTTAACTTTCATGATATACTGGATAAGACAGTTATAATATATATATAGTTATAAAAAAAATTTGAATGTTCAAATTACAAAACTTCTTTAAATTGAAACAATCTCTGTTTCCCTTACCCCCCCCCCCCCTCCCAAGAAAAAAAAACATGAAAAAAAAATATTTAAAACTGGGGCAATTTTGATAGGTCAGCTGGAGTACATCAAACTATTTGGATTAGTCCGGGGGATGGGGGGGGGGCATAAAGGTATTTTTATTCTTTTAAATGCTAAATTTGCATTTTGTTGGCTAGACTAGACACAGTTACACTCAACTTTCACATATGAGTAAATTTTCTCCTGTTGAATTGAACACTTAACTTAAGGTCACCTTAGGCAAGAAGAAATTGTTTATCTGAATATAATTATTATACCCCCTGCTTGAAAAGTGGGAGAGTATTACTGTTTATAGAAATCGGTATGTCCGTCCGTCTGTTATGCTTTGGGGTACCCGTCTTTTATCCACAACTCCTCTCATTCCACTGAAGGAAATTTAATGAAACTTACACAGAATCTTTATTACGTATTGCCATTGTGACCTCCTTTTTTACTTTTTGATCCGATTCATATTTTGGGTTTCCCGGCCACAGCAAAACATGGACTTTGTCATCAGTTATAACCATATGGGAGGTGGGGGTATCAATAATGAGCTCATTGCTCACAGTACCTCTAGTTAATGTTACACCCAGGTTCATGGACTGGAGTAAACATGGTAAATGAGAACAGCAAAATTATTAAATTACAAGATTTTAGAGTAATTTAAGCTCACTGCTTTAGAGACCAACCTCATTGGTAACCACTACAGGAGTATATATTGTGCATATAAGTAGAACAGAATGTTCTAAGCCTTTGCTCAGAAGTCTTGATACATTTGATACAAGACAGGTGAATTGATGCTCCCAGTTCAGGTGTCAGCTAGATGAGGTAAAAAGCATGCTTACTGTAACAATGAATACTTGATATCACAATTACTTAACTTAGCGGAACTCTTTCACAGGTGATATTGAATACAATGCAAGATTGATCATTGTAGAATTTATAAGGGTAGATAAATAAAAAATCCTGCTGGAATACTTAGTACCTTGCTAAACAATCGCTGAATCAGTCTAATCAATTTTTGAGAGGAGTTAATCCGAAGATGTTACATTTTTAATGATATTTTTAACTTAGCAGACTAGTACTCTTCTCATTTAAATGTTCTGTTGAATCATCCTCAGGTAGTGTAGATTCAAGTTTGTTCAAATCATGACCTCTGGGCCAGGGGTTAGGATGGGCTACAATGGCTAATCAAAGTTTTACATAGAAATATATAGGAAAAATCTTTAGAAATCTTCTTCTCAAGAACAATTGGGACAAGAAAGATAAAACTCATGTTGGATCATCCTCAGATAGGTAGGGTGGGGCCACAATGGCCGATCAATCTTTAAAAATCTTTTTCTCAAGAAGTTATATATATGCAGTATTGATACGGATGCATTCTCAAGTAGTATTAGAATTCAAGCCCTCTCATGACCCCCCCCCCCTTCAGTGAACTTCTGATCTGAATAATGTGCTTTTTCCTAGCTGATGTGCTCAGGTGAGCGATGTGGCCCCTGGGCCTCTTGTTTTTAATTATGTAATTAAATACAGTGTTACTGTTTGTTTCAGACGGCTGTAGACTATGGTGGACCCCGGAAAGAGTTCTTTCGTTTAATGTTAAAGTCAATTAAAGAAAAATATTTTGATAAGGGACTCCGAGAATTTATCTGTGAAGATTACGAAGTTATCGGAAAGACCTTTGGTTTGTATTAATTATTAAATTTGACTCTCGGTATACCTTGTAATCATCATCTTTGCATACTTCAATACTTGGTACTTTTTATGAAGAATTTTAGTCAATTTTAGTTGCCCTTAAGCAAAGAGCTGTGTCAGGCAATTTACTATCAGCCAAATAGTTCATACTTCCATGACCGCATGGCACAGTGGTTAGATCATCTGCTGTAGAGTCGCAAAGTAAGGAGTCAATCCTTATGTTGAAGGTTCAAATCCCACTGCTGTGGAGAGCGGTCCTTTGGATGAGACTGTATAAAACGAAGTCCCGTGTAGCAGTAGGTGCTGGCATTAAAAAGGTCCCTCCCTGCTCAATGGCCCTGAGTGCTGAGTATAGGACAAAATTTGCAGCTCACCACCGGCAATTGGTGGCGTCTCCATTTGAGTGAAAAATTCTCGAGAGGGACATTAAACAATACACAATCAATACTCTTCACTGTAGTTAAATGTACCATATATATCATACTTTGAAATATGTACATGTAATTTAAAGTAAATTCGCATCCTAATTTATTTTTTATGCCCCCACCATGGCAACAGTTGCACACATTAAACTTAATGTAACATATGAATAGGAATTTGCAGGTCAAGTTTAAATTTTGTCCTGGTCTGATGATTTTTAACAGTTTATAATCCTTTTTAACCTTCATACAAATTTAAAAATATGGCATTTGAAATTCTGTCTGCCTGCAGGGGCATTTGTGTCAACACATCTGGTTTAACAAAAGAACTTTGCACTGGAGAGATTATTTAATCTGGACAATTCTTAAAATTAAAAAAAAAAAAAAAACAAGAACAGAATAAATTCAAATAATTGATTCCCAATAGGAAGAGTGGTAATATTAATGTGACAAATAGAGGGAAATCTTTATGCTTGTAGCTGAACAAGTGTCATAATTATATGTTTTATGTACTAGTATTATGATGCAGGATGTATATGTAGATTTTGAAGTTAAAATGCAGGTTGATGGAAATGTTTTTGCTGTATTTCAGCTTTAAGTATTCTACAAAATGGCCAAATTCCAACTTTCCTAGAGCCAGAGATAATCCAGAAGATATTTTCTGATTCCATGGACCATCCATGCATCACAAGTTTGAGAAACGGACTTGAGACATTAGGATTGTATACAGTAATTTTTTTTAATGAATCCAGCAGAAGCAAACTTTTATTCCATATGACTAATTAATATTCTTATTAAAATAAAATTAGTTCCTGTAATACATGATTTCTAGTTTATAAGAATATTTTACAGTTCTAATTGTCATGTACGGTAATGTACTGGTAATTATTTAGTTTCAATCATCTTTAAAGACTAGACATGACAGAAAGGACATATCACATAACATATCGTAGAAACCGTCAATGTTTTGATATTTAATTAGGTAAATGCATAGAATGTGGCACTATAGGAAAAATAAATATTGCAAGAAAATAAATGCACAAGCAAGATATTATTGATAATTCTAAGCTCTGAGTCTCAAATAATTGAAAAGGTCAAAATTGCCAATGTTTTTATCCTCATAGTACACAATGCTCAGTGCTGTATAAAAAAAAGTTGACCCAATATTGCCTCATAGGGGCATAGATGTTTCTAAAACATTTCTTGTCACTTGAGAAAAATGTTAATAACAAAATTCTGTACAAAATTGGTTATAATAGTAAATCCCTAAAAGGAGGACAGTAAAACAAACTTTAAAAAGTGAAGTTGTACGTTTTTTTACATCTTTGATCTGTTGTTTATTTTTTCCAGATTGGTATGCAGCTTCCAAGTTTTCTTTACCTTTTCCAAAGACATTCTACACCATTGACATTCAGGATGCTTACAACACTTTTGAAACCTCAGTTTTCATTAGAGGGCAGCAACAACATTGAAGTGGAGAAGAAAGTTTATGCTGCATTTGTCCGTTATTTACGAGAAGTTGCAAGTAAGATTTAAAGTCCATAAAATTGTATTAAATTAGAAATACAGAAATTTCTAAACACACAAAAAATCATATTTATTTAGTTTCTCATCCATATTTGCAAAATCGATCATGCTTGAGACAGGTGGATTTTATTTTTCAAAAGGCTCGAGTGAGCTTTTCTGATTACATTTTGTCCTGCGTCCGTCTGTCTGTAAACTTTTCACATTTTCAACTTCTTCTCAAGAACCACTGGGCCAATTTCAACCAAACTTGCCACAAAGCATTCTTGAGTGAAGGGGATTCACGATTGAAGGGCCACACCCTCATTCAAAGGGAGATAATTGGGAATTTATGAAAATTTGGTGGCATGTTTTAAAAAATCTTCTCAAGAACCACTGGGCCAGAAAAGCTGAAACTTATGTGGAAGCATCCTGGGGTAGAGTAGATTCTGAATTGTTCAAATCATGACCCCCCCCCCCCCCCCTGTGTTGGACGGGGCCACAATAGGGAATAAAAGTTTAACATAGAGATATATAGGGAAAATCTTTGAAAATCTTCTCAAGAACCACTGGGCCAGAATAGCTTAAATTTATATGAATGCATCCTGAGATATTGTAGATTTTAAATTGTCCAAACTATGATCTGTGGGGTACAATGGGTCACAGTAGGTCACAAGGGAAAAAATCTGGTTAAGAATAGCACTAGCATTGTCATGCAAAGCTTCTCATGTGAGCGATGTGGCCCATAGGCCTCTTGTCATAAATTAGTGTTTAGCTCAGTTTTAAAGAAATCATTTCAGATATTTTTATCAAATTTCGTATGTTGATACATACTGATGAGAGCTATTCAACTATTTCAACATTTTACCTTGACCTTGAACTCACTTTTCCTAAAATGACCTAAATTAGTGTCAAACTTCATATGCTGATACATACTTATGTAAGCTGCTAAGCACTTCAACTGCATCACTATTCAAGAAATTATGATCAAATTTCATAAACAATTATAGTTTCTAGTTATATGTAAGCATCCACAGGTAGTGTAGATTTAAGTTTGTTCAGTTCATGCCCCCTCCCTTTAGGGATTGGTTGATACCACTCATAAAATACTGAATTGGCCTAATTGTGCTCAGATGAGCGATGTGGTCCATGGGCCTCTTGTTTCAGTTGGTGCATCTTGGGGCATATCTATAACATAAATTACATAGATAAATTTAATAAACCACTGGGGGAATTGCAAATGAACGGACTGCACAAATGGAGAATAATGAATGTGTTTTGATTTTTTTTTTTTGCAAAAACTTCATGCTTTTATAAGAAGCAAATTCTGTGAAGTGAAAAGGATAAATTTGATTTTAATTTTTCTATGAGCAACAATATACATGTACAAGTATGATAAATCCCAATGTTATTTAATTTTTTGCAGGTGGTCGAAGAGAACACTTATCCATAGGGAACATTTTACAATTTGTAACTGGAGCTGAAGAAGAGCCAGTCTTAGGGTTTCAAATACCACCTACTATTCAGTTTCCAGAAGTAATTAATTCATTTATTCCAACAGCAAACACATGTATCAACTCTCTCCAACTACCACGACCAAAGCCAAGCATTGATACAAATCTTCCAGAAGATAAAGAGCTGTTTGCTTTGTATGATTACGCATTCTTAAATTCTTATTATGGTTTGCGGTAATTTTTTACCAATTTTTATTGCAAGCCATTCATTAATTATTACCTTGCAAAAACAGTTTTTGTCTGGTTCATGGGCCTCTTGTTTTAAATTTGTCTCCAAATTTGTAGAAATATCATCTACTATATGGTCAGTAAGTCAAAAAATAAAAAGTTCAGACAGTCTGAAGGGTTTCTTTAAACAAATGTATATATGTGATTGATTACAGTTTGATTACAATTTTCAACCAGAGACATTTTGTCAAGGTTCAAGAATTGATAATAATATACAATGTACTGAAGTAAAACCAATCCATTTTTAGTAATGTTGAGATTGTTGTAAAATTTTTCCAAATTTGTTTTTTTTTCCATTTTCAGTTTTAACAATGGATATATGCTTTATGTTCAGAGGTACTTTACAATACATGCATGTATTACCGATGCTAAACCAAAATTTGAGTGTCAAGTGAAAAGCTCAGCTTTCATTGTTAGGCTATGTTAACAAGGCTTTTAAGTAAAAAAAAATCATATTTTAAAAGGTATGACCACTAAATTGAAAAATACGTTAAAATTTTATTATTATTATTAATTATGATATAAATTAAATTGCCTTTGGGTGTCTCATTTTTACATGAATTATGCTACATTTAGCTAGGTAGCCTCGTTTTCAGTTTAAGATCAATAGCCATTGACATGGTATTCTTCATGGTATAGCATGTTCGAAATGGTATTGCATGTTTGACATGGTATTCTTCATAGCCTCATATACCCCTATTATGCTGATGTTACATGTATGACATAAACCATAATTTTGTAACATGTAATGTTGATTTTAGACATATATATGTACTTTTGAGTCACAGACCATGTAGTTTTGCAGACTTAAACAATTTATCATATTTTTTTTATTACATGGTATCTGAATTTCTTCTGTTTTCATGTCATATCAAAACTTTATGAGGTTTTGCATGTAATTAAGTTATTGTATGAAATCTTTTTATTCTGATGCTAAAAGATTTAAAGCCAATGTCACAAACTCATGAATGCATTAAAAATTCTGTCAAAGTGGTAAAGCACTAGCCTCCACCATATAATTACATTTGTATGTCTTTTAAAAGGATGGTACAATGGACTACCATCCTATGACAATTTCATCTTGTGCATTACTACACTTGCTTTTTACTAGTCTTATATTGAAATACCTTTTTTCATGGCTACTGCAAAAACAATGAGTAAATTCATTTTTCATGCTATCTCCACCTGCTGTTTTGAAAATCTTTGACAGGCTACCATGTTCAAAATGGGACATAAATTCACTGAATTTAAATCTTGTTATTTTTTATAGAAAGTGTACATGTATTTACTGGTACTTGGTTTGTGTAGAATTACATTCTGATGCATTGAAATTATAGTATGCATTTGATTTTTTAACCATTATCTAGGGGAGATTTTCATTTTGGTATGCAACTACATATATTTGAATTCATATCTATTTTAATTATGAAAAAAAGTGATTTTGATTTTGTACTTTAGTCACTATTTTAATTATGAAAAAAAGTGATTTTGATTTTGTACTTTAGTAGGTATGAGATATTCAACATTTTGTGAAATGTAATCAAAACATCCATTCTTTGGTCACCCGAGTCACTCGGGCTGCTCTTGTTGTAAGTTGTCATTTGTTTATGTGTGTCCGTCAAAAACTTTTCATCGTGCTTTGCGTTAAGCTCATTTCAAAGTTCAGTTGCAAAGAAAATATTCAAGATATTTTTATCAAATTTCATAGATACTGAGTATTGATGAGAGGCATTCAACTGAATCAAAAACTTTTGACCTTTTACTTACCTGTGACCCTGACCTCATTTTTATTTGTATTTTGCTGAATTTTAAGTTTCATCGATACTCTGATTAGATAGATAACTCTTATTGACATCAATTTCTATTATTTTTAATCCTACCCCACACCCCTACCAAAATTTTACATTATCCAGAATAATGTTCAGATCATTTATCTTCCTATCATTGCATCATAACAATAAACTACTGTGCATTTAATGTACTAGTTATTCTATGGATCATGCACTGCCTGTCTGGAATGTATTATGTTTGGGTGACTGTTTAGACCATAAGCTTCTTGTTATGGACCCAATGTTCATATTTGTCTGCACATTTTATGTTAAATTGTCTTGTTAAAAAGTTTCATTTCATGTTATGTAGAATATTTTATGTTTGTAATTACATACAGATAATATATTAAATTTTATGATTTTTTTTTTTTTTTGATTACGCTTTTTTTTTTTTTTTACATTATATTGCAAGCACAAATTAATTTCAAACCACTGATTTGTCTTTAAAAATGAATAAAATCTCAGAAAATGTTTTATTTTGTACACTGGTTGGAATAAATGGAAAGCCAACGGGTTCAAAATTCCAACTCTGACCTCAAATCTACACTTTGAAAAATAGTTGAATATTTCTACAATAACATTAATATCATTTACTAGTACCTAACATATTGTTTACTTTAGATTTTAAACATATTAATAATAGATATGATAAAAGGAGGCACCCATTCTCTGTCTACCTCAAATAAACGTCTCTCCCGAGTCAAAAAATTTGGGTTTTGATGATCGCCATGCTTATTTTTGGAAAGGATATTCTTATCCACCCATTCTGTTGCCGAGATATGGCCATTTTTGACAAAAAACTCTTCTTGTTATAAAAATTAACTTGCATTGAAAGAATTATAAAACTCGGAAAATCTTTCAACTTTTGTGACAAAACGCTACGGAGGCGGTCATGTGGTCGCCTATATGACGTAATTCGCTCAAGAGCAGAACGGTGACCGATGTGCATTAAAATCGGAGAGGATTAATTTAAATTTAAATATAATCAACACTGAAATCAAATATTGTTTCCCTTACGGAAGTTATTCATTTAGTTCGCGAACTTTTTGATCACCCCTTGCACGTATGTACATATCGAATTACAGAGTTAAAAATTTGAACCCGTTAGCTTTGCATAAAAGGTTTATTGAATATGGTTAATTTCCTGATGATTCTTTATAATTTGGAGAGATTTTGTGTACATTTCAATCAAAAAATTTGAAGAGTTCTCTGATATTTGGACTTCATTATCCAACTGTTGCTTGCACCCTGCGGTGATGATGGCACTAGATATAGAAGGAATTATCGGTCTCTCGTTAACGTTTTCATCATTGTTGTCAGCTTCCAGAAGAAATCCTTCTGTTCCATAATTGACATCAACAAAATCTATACCTGTAGGATTTTGAATTTGTCCTGCAACCCATAAACAATGTGGGGATGATTTTGTTGTTCTCATTCTGTGTGTAGCCCAGGCCTTTTCCCAGATTTTCAGCTTCTCGTTTATTTGTGGAACAAATACATAATGGAGAGCTGCAATATGTAGATCGTCCAGTGGATCTAATATTTCGTTGTCCTCCATGTGATAGAATAATTTATAGAAGAAAGCAAGGACACCGGTATAAACGTCTCTCCAGAGACGTTCAATTCTCTGGTTATGTACACTTTTTCCCGTTAGCATGCTTCCTTTACCCAGCCCTCTGTTAGAGATCATGTAATCTGCTATAGCTGAATTTTCCAAACCTTTGTCTGAACGTACTCTAACTGGTAGTCCAAAACGAGAAACGCCATCACGAAAGCATTCTAAAAGAGTATCGGCTTTATTATTGTCCAGACATCTCAAGTAAATAACCATTCGGCTAAACCCATCTATGCCCCCAGCGATGACTAAATGCCAACGAATAAGTTTATGGTTAGTATCAACATGCCACAGATGGTTAGGCCCTTTCACATCATACACTCTACGCTTTAAACGGCCTTTTCTTCTGTCCCTTACACCTACTGCGTTGACACGATGTAGGCTTTCTCTAAGTCTCCATCGCTGTACATTAACAGATTTTTGTTTTAGTATTTGACCCAAAATGTTCTCTCCACAGTGCGGAAAATTTTCAGATGCCTTACTAACATGTACGTCTAGTTCATCATCGTCCATTTCTGAAAAATTTTGTTTTGATATTCCAAATTTTCGCATTCTGCGATATACAGTACTTTCAGATATAGAAAGAAGTCTAGCAATTTCTGCTATAGAAAACCCATCATTACTCAGGTTTTGCAATATACTTTCTGGTATCACAAATTCTGTTGTACCACTACCAATATGCTTCCGCTCGGGTGTGTGAAAACCATAGGTGATGCATTCATTTCGGAGTTTAACCATATCTGCTTTGTTGTTAATACCAAGACAATGCATTTCCTGGGATGACAGTAAACCCACAATATCAGGAGAAATATTTTGCTCTTGAAAACTCACTACATGGTCTTCCAGACCCAGTCTTCTCAGGATTTCGTCCATTTCACCAAAACTTGCCTTTTACTGTTTTCAAATGAACAAAGTCATACACATGTGTTTGCATTTTTTAGCGGGAAATTGATCTACATATTGCCTGAAAGTGACTTAACAAAACGTATTCGAGTATCCTGTTAATATAAAACTGTATGAAGTATACAATAACCTATTATACGTTGATTTCACAAAAAACAAATACTTTTAGACTACATATTGTACGAAACCGACGTAGTGATGTTAAGTTTTGACTAAAAGAAATAAGCTTTTGGCTGCATGTTATTTGGAGATGTATTAAGTATTTTAATTTGATGGCCTAAAAAAACTTCTGTATTACATGTTATATAAATTGGACTTAATGATATAAAAAATAGACTACATGTTATTTAAATTGGACTTAATGATATAAGGAATAGACTACATGTTTTATAAATTGGACTTAATGATATAAAAAATAGACTACATGTTATATAAATTGGACTTAATGATATAAAGGATGAACTACATGTTATATAAATTGGACTTAATGATATAAAAAATAGACTACATGTTATATAAATTGGACTTAATGATATAAAGAATGAACTACATGTTATATAAACTGGACTTAATGATATAAAAAATAGACTACATGTTTTATAAATTGGACTTAATGATATAAAAAATAGACTACATGTTATATAAATTGGACTTAATGATATAAAGAATGAACTACATGTTATAAATATTGGACTTAATGATATAAAGAATGAACTACATGTTATATAAATTGGACTTAATGATATAAAGAATGGACAACATATTATATAAAAAGGACTTAGTGACAGTAAAAGATAGACTTGCATAAAGAATTGACTTATTGTTATACTTATCCGACTATGTGTTATTTTAATTTGACAGCATATTATAACTTCTGTACAACATGTTATATAAATTGGACTTAATGATATAAAAAATAGACTACATGTTATTTAAAAAGGACTTAATGATATAAAGTATAGACTAAATGTTATATTAAATTGACGTTATGATGTGTTTTTGTACTACATAATATATAAAACAGACTTAATGATATAAAAGGTAGACTTAATGTTATATCGATTTGACACCATGATGTATATTTTGTACCCTTAAGACAGTTGTGGCGTTCCATAGTCTGTG